TGGAAACTTCATTGTGCAGATGGGGAAAAGAAGGGCCAGAAACTTGTGACTTGATCTGGATCAACGGAAGTGACAGATTGGGAAACTATGTCTTTAATTTCTCTTGCTGGAACCTGCTTTCCCCTGAGTTGGTGGCTTTGGCTCAGGGTGTGTGACGATCTTCTGAAGCTGGATGAGAAGCTCCCATGCAGGAATGGGAACATTTCCCAGGCCATAATCTGGATGTGTATTCCAGGAAACAGAGTATCACCTGTGGCTTCCTGACTGCTTGAACATTTGGGGGACTTTCCAGTCCCTGTTTTATCTGGCATAGTTGGTGGGGAGGTGGCAACTTTGCTGAGTCAGGGCACCCGGGGAGCCACCTCTCAGTGGCTTTGATGAGTGTTTAAGTTTTTGTCTGTGGGTCAGAAGCTGCCTCTGTGTGGATGAGATAGAATCTCTTCCTTACAGGGCACTTCCTCCAAGTTCTGCCTAGTACTTGGGTCTGCCTATGACTTGGTCTGAATTCCTGCCAGGATCACTTCCCTGCGGTCATGTTTTCTACCTCTATGATGCTCGTCCTGTGTAGGTTGTCAGGCTTACCTGGGGTGGTATATGAGAAGAGGAAGCAGCATGCCAGCAGCAGTAAGCACAGAGTCTTCTTCATGGTGGGCAGAAGGAGTACTCAGACTGCCCAGAGGACCAGCGACCCTTGGGAGGCTGAGAGTCTCAGGATTCCCAGGAGGGTGGATGGCAGTGGTATTTGTAGGGAGCCTACACCGTGCATAATCTCACAGATGAGCCCCAGTAAAGCTCCATTAACTAGACCTCCTGCTGTGTGCCCCAGGCATTTCCAATGCTGTTGATAAGTGTTCAGGTTTACCTCTGCATGGATCTTGTTTTCATTGTGGAAGGCCCCAATTGTCACCTCATGCCTGGGTTTCTGAGCTTTTCCGGTTAGAGAGTCTGAATGTTCTCTGGCAGCATAGCCCATGCTAGTCTGTCTCTGGCCAAAATGACTCAGAGAGCCTTTAAGAGGAGGCCTGGCAGCCTCCCATTCCTACAGGGTAGTTTAGACATCACCGGTTCCTGGGCAGGAGCTAAGATAGTTGAGGGATGAAAGTTGTCTCTGCCGCGGCTGTCTCCCTTCTTTAAGTAATTTTCTCCTTCACTGTTTCCCCACCCGTCAAACTGGGCAAGCGTTGCCAGGTATTTTCTTACAAAGAAACGCTGCTCCCCGAAGACAGTCACTGTGAGGGCTCAGCGAACATTCTGTAAGCTTGTCTTTGGGACTAAGGATGAAGTTGACTAAGTGCCTTCCAGGAGCTTCTGCCCGTGACCGCTGCAGGAGGTCAGCTAGCTTCCATGATCTGGCTAGCTTCCGCTCTGCAGTGGAGACATGCTGGTTAGTTCATAGTGATGCCCATGGAGCGGGTAGGATGTAGGGGGATGGCTTAAAGGTCTCAAAGACGCACAATTCCTGTCAGAAGGTTGAGGGCCGGTGAAATCGAAAGGAACTTTAGCCTCACATCTTCTTTCCCGTGTTCGTTGTAGATATCCTAAGGACAATTAGGAGACAATTGCATGGATCTTAGAGAATTAGGCTCTCTGGTTGATTATGCAAATTTTTCTATTTACTAGTTATGTAACTTTAAGTAATAATATTTAAGCTTTCTGTACTCTAGTGTTCTTTTCCTTTAAAATAGGGATAATGTTAAGAACTCACTCAATTGTTGTGAAATATAGATTCTGAAGTTTTAAAACCTCAGAATATCAGTAAAATATTTTTACTGAAATTTTCTCTTTCAGTTTAGAAAATATTTATTTCTTTTTGTATAGAAACATTTTCAACAAGAATTCTTGGATATTGCAGTACTGGTTTTCCCCCACCCCCAATCTTTCTCTACTTTGTTTCATCAGAGAATTTCTTCAGTGTGTGAAGAATCTATTTTATCTTCTTTTCCCTCACCTCTTACTCCTTAGACTTTATCCACTTACATTTTCCTTTTGGATTTATTTACTTATTTGTCTCATTTGCCAGTAATTCTTAAACATCAAACATCTTTCTTGTTGCCGATGTTCACCCCGAACAGCTCAGCCCCGGTTTCCAAAGCATCGTTCCGTGGCAGAGTGTTCTGCAGGGGCACATTGTGTCCTTCACTTTCCATAGCATTTGCGTGCAAGTTATGGTTAGTGATGGAGATCCAAGCTCGTTCTGTGCAAGCACAGTGTCTTTTCAGGTGGTTTCCACGGAAGATGCTTCTCTGATAAGCTTTTCTTTAATGGCTAAAGCCAACTGGGATTATTAAGGTGTGGAGGTCACAGGTAATAAATGTATTTTTACTGTGCTGTGAATGGGATGCCCAGGAGAATAGGTAACTGGCGATGTGGCAATCCAGATAGTTTGATATTTAAAATTATTTATTAACTTGGCTGAGTGACGGTGTTAGGACTTGGCTCAAACAAGATTCTGGATGCTTAGGTTTTCTGGATGAAGCTCCTTTTTTGTTTGTTTGTGTAATGATCAGTTGGGTGTGATTACATGAAACACATAGCAGAGACTCCTTTGGAAACTGAGGGATGAGGGAGTGTCTTAGTTAGGGTTTTATTACTGTGAAGAGACACCATGACCATGGCAACTTTTACAAAGAATACATTTAACTGGGGTTGTTCACTTACAGTTTCAGAGATTCAGTTTATTAGCATCATGTTGGGAAGCATGGGTGCATGCAGGCAGGCATGGTGATATACATCTTGATATGCAGGTCACAGGAAGCTGAGTGACGCACTTGGTGGTATCTGGAGCAGAAAAAACCCCTCAAAGCCTGCCCCCACAATGACACACTTTCACCAACAAGGCCATACCCTCTCCAACCAAAACACACCTCCTAATAGTGCCCTCCCTATGAGATTATGGGGCCAAGTACATTCAAATTACCACAGGGGGGCATGGTCTTTAGTTTAAATGGGTTGGTTTAGATAAATTCTGGGCTTTTATTTTTCTATCTGGTAAGCCCCTAGTTGCTTGACAACTGCCCTTGGGATGACCAAGGAGGAAGAGTATTTTTTATTGAAGTGTGCAAACTCAAAAGAGGAGGAAACTTGGGGCTTTCTAGTTTGCACACCACTCTATAGTTTGCACACTATTTTATAGTTTGCACACCATGTTGCAGTTTGCACACCATGCTGTAGCTTGCACACCATGCTGCAGTTTGCACACCATGCTGTAGTTTGCACACCATGCTATAGTTTGCACACCATGCTGTAGCTTGCACACCATGCTGTAGTTTGCACACCACACAGATTTTTCTAGGGGACTCTGTAGTGACTGATTGTGGATGGGGTAGTAGACTTTCATCCCCCTGTATATGTTTTCCTGCTTTACTTTGAAGAGTGGCCAAACATCATAACACACAGCAAGTAAAGAACACGTAGTCGAATCTATAAATTGGCAGACACTGAACAAAGCAGAATGCTTTCTGTATTAGTGTGGGTAATAGTCAGGTAAAAGAGTCGATAGAACAAAAGCCAGCTTCTTTAAAGAGAATGGATTTTGGTAATAGCTTGTCTCAAAAGTACACGTTGTGACTCACAGTACATGTTTCCTGACTCTATCCACTCAGGTGTCATCTATCTGAGTCAATGCCACCCTTACTATTGCCCCGTGACACTATTATTATTATTATTATTTGGTTTTTTGAGGCAGAGTTTCTCTGTGTAGTTTTTCAGCCTGTCTTGGCACTTGCTCTGCAGACCAGGCTGGCCTTGAACTCACAGAGATCCGCCTGCCTCTGCCTCCTGAGTGCTGGATTAAAGGTGAGTACCCGGCTGACCCTATTATTTTTATAATAATAAGTTTATAATTTTTATAATTCTTTCTTGATTCTTTGGGAGTTTCACATCATACACCCTAATCCCACTCACTTCCCAGTCCCTTCATAGCCACCCCTCAATTCTGTAGCATCTCCCCTAAAGAAACTCCCCAAAATCGTTAAAAACAAAACAAACAAACAAACAAAAGAACCTCACTTCGCTCCTCTGTCTCTCCTGCCACTCCAACATTTCTTCATTTGTCCTAGTGGTATTAGGAGCTGCAGTGTGTCACATAGTTCCTTTTGTCCAATCAGCCCCACCCACAAATGTCCGTTGCAATGAATCATTGATCTATCTGGCTCAAGACCTTTTCTGAAACTCCTATCAGGCATCCTGCTGTTGTCCTGAGTCATGGAGATCTTGAGGCTTTCATTCTACAGAACTAGTTTCTTCATGAGCTCCAGCAGGTCATAGATGGGGTAGATGTTAGGGTGGGCCAACCAGAGGCCCAAGATTTGGGCCTGGGTGGTGACTGAACTGGACAGTGTAGACCGCTGGGACTACCCCCTTCGGGTGAGGGGCAGAGCCAGCTCTTCTATGGGAGTGTTGAGGGGTGAGACCATCTCTTCAGAGTTAGGGGGACAGCTCTCCCATGAGGAATGGAGCCAGCTATCCTGCTATAGTGCACAGCGAGGGGCAGGGCCAGCCATCTCATGGCCAGGGAAGGGCTGGGCAGGCTCAGAACGGCCCAAGGATTTCAACATGTATGATTTCCATGACCTTCCCTATACCACACCACCTGGTGGCAACACTGGCCATGGACATGGGCACAGACTCCAGCTGCAGCAGAACTATGTAACCAGACATGGTTACACTCAGGTGACTGACCAGACTCTGGGTAACCGCACACTCCTCAGGGGTAACAGGAACGATGAACATCAACTCAGACCCTGGCTGCTCTAGGTTCACAGACCCAGACTTGCCCTAGGCAGCAGCTTGGGCTGGATGTCTTCTTTCCTCCAGTCTGAGAAGGTTGAATGCACTGGCTCTTGTTTGGTCCCAAGACTCATACTCCATCCCCACATTTATTAACCTATTTCAAATGGAGACACAGGACTTGCTTTCTTCCAAAAAAGCACATTTTTCCCCAAAGGGAGTTTCACTTTATTGAAATAATGGCAAAATATCCTTCACATGGCTTCAGTGCTCTATATATTAGTCTGTTTAACAGGTATCATGCAGCATGCAGATTCTTTATTATTACAGATGCCATCCACTTTGCCGTAGAAAGGGCATTTCTCACCGAAAACGGCTGCTGATTTCGGTATACATTTGAACCTGATATGGATTGTATCAGAGTGACTGCCAACACCTGCAAGAAGAGAACACAGAGATTAGGACACTTATCTCTAGCTGCATTGACCGCAGTACTCCTGTTGAAGATGAGAGACACTGCTCGGCAAAGCACGTGGGAGAGAATTTTCCCTCCCAAGATAACCAATCTTGGAGGCAACTAAGGAAAGCAGACGTCTGAACAGCTCACGCATCAGGGCCCCAAACCTCATATCATGTTTTTTTTTCCTACTGAGAGTCCTTGAGAGATGCAGGGAGCTCAGATGATGCTCCCGATCCCATTAAACTTCTACCACACTACAGAGTGATAGTATTCAGTTTGGAAATGCCGAAGCAGAATCCAGGTCTGTGAACACATCTTGACCGATCTTCTGATGTCTCTCTTTAATGAGACTTGCCCACACCACTTGACAATCAGCTCATCAATATCTCTAGCCCTACTTCTACTGGAACTTGACATCCTTTCCTGTTATGATAAAATTGTGGGTACTCTATGACGGCATTATATTTTTCTACAGTTGGAATTTATTATAGCTTCTGCTCTGTGCCACGGAGTCTTGCAAGGGAAAGCTGTGCTAATGGTTTTCTATGTTCTTGGTAAGTGACCACCACGTCCTTGCTTCATGACTCGTGGCTATTTGAATATGAGAGGGATGCCCCTCACCCAAGGTCTCCTGCATGTGAAAGCTTGGTCTTTATGATAGCTCTGTTTGGAGGGTTTTATGTGCCACCTACTTGCTAGAGAAAGTGTGTCACTGGTGGCGGGCTTTGAGATGTTAAGAATTCACCATCCACCCAGTTCTTCATGGTTTTCGTAAATCATATGACTTCTTAGCATCCTACTGTCTCCACCATATCTGCTGCTTGCGGGGATGGTTCCCTGGCAGGGCAGACTCTTATCTGGAACCATAAGCTAAAATGAACTCCTTCTATAGTTGTCTTGGTCATTAGGAAAGTAACTAGCGCACTAGGTTTATAGCTTATGTACCCGAAGAGTCTTGTGTTGAGACCCAGTGCCTCAGAATGTGTCAGTAATTGTTCTCGAGTTTTGAAACAGTTCATTACAGTTTAACAATGTTGTCATGGGAAGAAATAAAGGATGGATGGTGCCCTTAATGAAATAGGGAGACTTTGAGGGCATCAATGCAAGCCACTGCACCCAGGGAAGCTGTCCTGCTTCTCCCTCAGGCCTACAGAACAGCATTTTCCAGCACTCTTTAGTCTGTGTTTCTGTAGCCATGGGGAGTTGCTCTAACAGGTGATGGTGTTTACCTTTGGTCATCAGAGAGAGAAGGCTGAGTATCAGCAACAGAAGGCAGAACATCCTCATGGTAGCTGCAGTCTGGGAACAGAGAACAGAGAGAACGGGAAACTCCTAGGAGGCTGAGGAGAAAGCAGAATCCCAAAGACAGAATGCAGCTAAGTTTATAGAGAGGTATGACTGCAAAACCTCAGAAATGCGGGAAAGGGGGAGCTGAAATCCAGAAAGAAGATCTAATGACTGTCCCGCATTCTGACTATTTGTCTTGAGAGAGCTCCAGTCCTGTGGGCATGTGTCCCATCGGCCTGTGCCTGGAGTTTGTGGCCTTAGAAACCCTGAATTTTTGTGTCCTATCAGTCTGTTGTGTTTTCTAGGTAGGGAGCTCTGAAGGTTTCCTGGCAAGGTAGCCCCATCTAGGGTCTCTGTCTATATTTGCTCAGAAATACTAGGCGAGGAGGCCTAGCACTCTAAACAGGTTACTGCCCAATCCCGGCAGGTGTTTGTCCTTTGTGTTTATCTGTGTTCCTACTGTGGGCCTCATACCTTGTCTTCTTGTTTGTATAAAAGGTGCTGGTTGCAGGAGTGAAATTTATTCTTCTGGTAGAAAATTCTGTACTCTCTTCTTGGCTTCATCTTTCTCCTAGTAGTGTGAAGACAGGAATTGTTCTTCCTACAAGACATGGGATTTTCCATTGTGAATCTTCAACAACATTAAATCCTTCACTCTCTATTTCAAGGGCACTTATTTAATTCCCAGTTGTACCAGGGAATCTTTGGAAGCTTGGAGTATGCAGAGAGAAAACTTTAGTTTGCCCTTTCTCAGAACCTTCACCTGAGAGGCAGATGAGCAGAGGGGATTTCAACAAAACCCTTGATTCTGGGGATACTGAGCAGCCTTCTGATCATCCCTCCAAAATATTCAACAATATAAAAGTTCAGTTGGCTTCTGATGCAACACAGTGTTTGCCCTTTCTAGCTTTCCTGTCAGGTTGGTAAAAGGATGTCATCAAATACTTTCATGCTAATGATCACAAGAGTAAGGAGTTCTAGCCCTTCTGTGTTTAGAAATCTTCGCATTTGCCCTTTGTGGCTGATATATTGGTTCTTATGGAGATGCACATACTTCAACAGAAAACCAAACCTTTTCCTTCAAAGGCTTCCTGAGAATTTGATGGTCTCTTTATGTGTAGATGTTAGATATTTATTTTGGAGAAAACAGCTTCTTTATTTCTGTGATAATTTTCTTGATTTTTTCACCCTCTTAAAAATAACTTCCTTTATAGGGTTAGGTCTGCTGGTTAGACGCTTAGGCACAAGAGGCTGTTGGGGAGCTTGGAGATGAGGGGTTGCTGAGTGCTGTTGGCCTGCTTCTGTGACTTTTTTTGAAAACCTGGGCTCCGCTCATCAACTCAACATGCCTGACTTCACAGCCGGTCAGGGTTATTCCCTGGGCAGGTTTCAGTCATTCCTGGCGCTTTTCCATGGGTGATCTGCAGCCTTGTTTTTGGATCCCCTTTACAGTTTGCAGTCTGCAAGATCAAGTCAGGCTGTTTCTCTCTCTGGTAAGGGGGCCCAGTTGGAGTTTGAGGAGTTTCTGGTCCCAGGAAGGTGGCCATCAGTCCAGTAGAGAGCTTGCTGACTATTTGACACCTGTTCCACAGACTGGATGTAGGGGTCCCAGTGACTGTGGCTCCCTCCCAGTTTTATGGCATAAAGTCTAGGAAGGACGTCTGAAAAGGAAGCAGGTCACTTTTGTTAAAGATTTGAAGCACACATGGCTGAAGGCAGGACTGAAGGACGCCCCGAGGGCTGGCAGACCCCAAAGATCTACATGAAGAACAAATAAGGGTGGGGTTCTATCCCTCTGCCCCTCGTGTTGTTGCCGACACATTGTAATAAACAATGGAAGGGCTTAGTTTAAAAAACAAACTTCTTGAATCAGAGGGTGTCTTCAGTGTAGTGTGACTATTGTCTTTTTAAGTAATATACTCTACAATTTAGCCTTCAGAGAGATAATTTCATATTTTAGATTTTACTATATGATCTCTATCTTTCCAAAAAATTTTAACTGGAAGATATTTTATTTGCACTCTCTGTTCTTTGTGCATTTTCTGCATCTAATCAGATGATCATGTGGTTTCTCTCCTTGAGTCTATGTAGGGCATATCACATAGAAAAGGCTTTGGGTGAAACCCCTGTCACTCTGTGAGAGCAGTGCTGGGGAATCTGGGTATGGGGCGCACTCCTCAGCACATTAAAGACAATGATCAACAATACCTCACACAGCATCGTGCTAAGTGGCACAAACTCTGAAGCATTTCCACTAAAATTGGAACAAGAGTGTTCACTCTTTCCACTCTGTTCAATATGGTGTCGTCTGTGATTATGGCTTGAGAAATAGGACGAATGAAGGGGGTGAAGTAAATACAAAGAGGAAAGCAAGAAGTCAAAGTATCTTTCTTTACAGGTGACATGATTCGACATATAAAAGACCTCACCAGAAGCTATAGCTGATAAACACATTGATCAAAGTCATAGGGTGCTGTATTAAAATATATATATATGCATTAAAATGTATGCATTAAAACTGTAGTCTCCTTATATACTAATAATAAAACAAAGAAAAACCCAGAGAAACTATCTCATCTCTAAAGCCTCAAAAGAAAACAAAACACAAACCCAAGGCACAAATCAGCCTAAAGCAGTGAAATATTACACATCAGACACCAGAGAAAGGAGTCGCAGGACACACCAGGAGATGGACAAACCTCCCGTGCTCATGGATTGGGAGAATTAGTGTTGTGAAAATGGCTAAGTACCAAAGGCAATGTACAGAGTCAACATAATCCACATTAAAATTGTAGCACAATTCCTCTAGGAAACTGAAAAAGAAATTTCTCAAAATACATATAGAAATACAACAGAGCCTGGGGTATCTGAAACAACACTAAACAATAAAAATACTTGTAAAAGTATTGACACTTCTGATTTAGAGGTCTATAGAAATGAAAAAAAAAATGGCCACTGATGTAAAAACAGATACACTGATTGATAGTATAGAACTATACCAGATATAATTTCTCATTCCTACAGCTGCCTAAAATTTTACAAATAAAAGAGCAATATACTTTGGAAAAAAGACCTGTGACAAAAGGTTCTGGAAAAATTCAATAGATACATGCAGAAAAACAAAATTAATCTTTATCTCTCACCCTGCACAAAACTTAGAGGAGAAAACAGGAAATATGGCTCAACTTATAGGGGAAGGAAATGAATTTCTGGATAGTACTCTAGTCAACCCAGACATTAAGACCAACAGCTGAAAAATGGGATCTAATTAACGTAAAAAAATGTGTGTGCTCTGTATGAGTGAAGAAGCAGCCTACAGAACGATAAAAAATCCCTGAGAGTTACATGTGTGACAGTGTTTAGAATATATATAGAGCACAAATATTGAATATCAAGAAAACAAAAATATACCTAAAGCAGTGGGATCCTTGATCAGGGCAAGAATAGAGTACAGATAAACCATCTAACTTGCCCAGACTCTGAGCCTGAAATTACCTCATTTGCTTTATCACTAGGTGGAGCTCTGAACCCAAGTTTCCATCAATTCTGCTGTAGACTTACAACCCTCAGAAATATGATCTGACTGAGTTGTTAATATGACTCTGTGGCTAAGAACACTGGTTAATTTTGCTGCAGAGGACCCAGGTTTGATACTTAGCACCCACAGGCCCCTCTCATGACATATCTAACTTTTCTTCCCAGTCAGCAATAACATCACACTCCAGGCTTAGACCAGGACACACATTCTGCAACCAACCTTTTGTGTACTTGATTTCATTACACCCAAACCCTCTCAAATTTTAGGCCCAAGCCACCCACACATCCTTTCTTCTGCCTCAATCTTCTCTGCCCATTTTAGACACAGCTCTAACAAAAGAAGTCCACATGCCCAAATATTACTGCAAAAAATCAACAGCATGATCAAGGCACTGGCTTCTCTCTGAAACTTATCAGTCCTATACAAATGTTCGCCAATGAGAATTACCAAGATGGACTCCAGGGCATGGAATTTAAAAGAACAATCATAAATATCATCAAGAATTCAATGAGTTTAAAGAGGAAACACACACACATACATATGCTCACATACACACATACACACACACATACACACAGGAAGTCATCTCAATAAAATTAAGGTGAAAAAAAATCTTAAGAATAATGCCTGAGTAATGTCCAAGAAAACACAAGCATAAGGTTGATGAAAACGACAGAGACAATCCAGGACTTGAGAATGGAATTAGATAAGGAGATGGAAACATTGAAGAAGATTTTTTTTTTTTTAAAAAAGGAAGATAGAATTGAAAAATTCAATAACTCAATATGAAATGCAAAGAAAACTTCTAAGAAGAAAATGAGAGGAGAGCTGTCGAGTCTGAGCTCACTTCCTCTTCCTCCCAGCGTTCTGTTCTGTTTACTCCTCCCACCTATCCGCTAACCAATAAAATGGGCCAGGGCAGTGCCTTTATTAGCCAATGACCTTCCTCCATCACTGATACGTCTAAGGAGCACACAGAACACAAAATACACAAGTCCAGAAAATAAAATCTCCACAGCATATCACAGTTAAAACACTACATATGCAGAAAAAAGAAAGTGTATTGAAACCTGCAAGAGATAAAACACAAGTTACATATAAAGAAAAACCCATAGTAAGAATAACAACTGATTTTTCAATGTAAAACTTGAAAGTCAGAAGAGCCTGGAGCATTGCATTCTAAGTTCTAAAAGACTATGATGGCTGACCTAGACTAATATAGACACAAAACTATCTGCCATAAATGAAGGAGAAAGCAAAACTTTCCATGATATAAACACCTAAAATATTTATATCCGACAAACAAAACTAAAGAAAATACAGTAAGCAGTGCTTTAGGCTGTAGAGAGAAATGAGCATAGCAGAGACACTGTGGAAAGAAATTTGAAGCCATAATGATAAACACACAAAATACCACTGAGAATACGAACATCACCACCAAAAATAAAAACACAATGACCAC